AACCTAGTGTGTAAAAAAATAAAATAAATTTTTTTTAAAAAGATTTTAAATTTTTTTATGGGCCTATTCCATGGCCCTGGGCCTGGAGCTACAGCTCCATCAGCCCCTATGTTAATCCGGCCCTGAACACACCCATATCTGTTTTCAGTGGATCTACACTTTGATTTTTTTTTTTTTATAATTTAGGTACCGTATATGCTTGAGTATAAGCCGAGGCCGCTAATTTTACCACAAAAAAAATGGGAAAACGTATTGACTCGAGTATAAGCCTAGGGTGGGAAATGCAGCAGCTACTGGTAAATTTCTAAATAAAATTAGATCCCAATAAAATTACATTAATTGAATATTTATTTACAGTGTGTGTATATAATGAATGCAGTGTGTGTGTTTGTGTGTAGTGTGTGTATATTATGAATGCAGTGTGTGTATATAATGCAGTGTGTATTTGTATGAATGTAGTGTGTATATAATGAATGCAGTATGTGTGTATATATAATGCAGTGTGTATATAATGCAGTGTGTGTTTGTGTGAATGCAGTGTGTGTGTATATAATGCAGTGTGTGTATATAATGCAATGTGTGTATATAATGCAGTGTGTGTTTGTGTGAATGTAGTGTGTGTATATAATGCAGTGTGTGTATATAATGCAGTGTGTGTTTGTGTAGTGTGTGTAAACTGGGTGAGGGGAGGGAATTTTTATTATTTAAATTTTTTTATTTTAATATTATTATTATATTTTAACATTATTATTTTAATATTATTATTATTTTAATATTATTTTATTTTAATATTTGTATAATTTTATTTTAATATTTGTATTATTTTTTATTTTTTTTGTCCCCCTTCCTGCTTGTTGCCTGGCCAGGGAGGGGGGCTATGTGAATCCCTGGTGGTCCAGTGGATGGGCTGTGCAGTGGGGGGACTGGCAGAGAGCTGTTACTTACCTTCTTGCAGCTCCTGTCAGCTCCCTTCTCCTCCGTCGAGCAGAACGGAGCAAACAGGGGAGCTGCACGGAGGAGAAGGGAGCTGACAGGAGCTGCAGGAAGGTAAGTAACAGCTCGCTGCCAGCCCCCAACAGGACCGCCGGGCTTGTAATGAGCCCGGCGGTCCTGGTCTGTATTATGGCAATGTAAGTTGCCATAATACAGACATGGACTCGAGTATAAGACGAGTGGGGGTTTTTCAGCACAAAAAATGTGCCAAAAAACTCGGCTTATACTCGAGTATATACGATCCTTTTTTGGGTGGTTGATTTTGCTCTCTTTGGCTATCATTTTCTAGTTTAGACCATTTAATCGCTTTGTTGCATGCATTATTTGCTATCTTATATAGGATACCTCTGATTTGTCTGATTTAAATGCCCTTTTGTTATTTTTGATTTCTTGGTTTACCTTCCCTCTAAGCCACATTTATTTTAATTTGTTTATTTTATATTTATTGTGCAATGGTACATACTGAGAAGAGTACCTCTCAATTAGTTGAAGATATTCAATTTATCCTCAGTGTTTGTTTTTTTCACTACAGCGTTTATGCCAGTCATTATGTTGTAAAGCTGCCCTAATCTTATTAAAATTGGCTTTTTTAAATTCTATGTTTTAATATACCCCATATGCCTTTTATTTTCTAGTTGATTTCAAAAGACACCATAAATAATCTCCTTATGGCGAGAAACAAATGTGATTACTCCATCCTAATCCTCCTGGATCTCTAAATTGCATTTGACACCATTGACCATTGGATTTTAATAGAGCGCTTGCAGCACATCTGTTGTCTAGGAGGCACAGTCCTTAACTGGTTTAAATCTTTCCTCATTGGTAGATCACAGAGAGTAACATCAGGATCAAGCTCATCGGCACCAACAGAATTGGCCTGCTGAGTTCCACAAGAATCCATCTTGTCTCCCATGCTATTCACAATTTACTTGCTATCAGTGGGGGACATCATTAAGTGACATGGCCTAAGGTATCATTGTTACACTGATGACACACAACTCTACTTCTCCTTTGCTCCAGGTACCACAGACTAAACATGCCGCATCAACAGTTGCTTAGCAGACCTCAAAGAATGGATGAATGCTAGTTGGCTTAAAGTGAACCCAGAGTTACTCTTGGTGAGGGGACCCCAGGCAACAAAAATATCCCATGATCACCCAACTGGCCTTGAGCTTTGGGGCTTTGAACTCATCAGTTCATCAAAGGTACAAAACCTCTATTTTTTAAACAGCAGATTTCCTCCGTAATAAAATCTGCCTACTTTCATCTGAAAAACACAGCCAGGATACAAGACTTAACACTAATTAATTCCACCGGATGATATGCCAACATTAATCCATGCATTTGTATCCTCTTGGCTAGATTACTGCAATGTACTTTACTTAGGCCTCCCAGAAAAAGAACTCCATCACTTTCAAACTGTAAAAAAATGCAGCAGCTAGACTACTGACCAATCAAACTCGCTCCTGCCACATAACACCTGTTCTCCACTCCCAGCATTGACTTCCAATTAAATGGCGAACATATTTTAAAATTGGCCTGCTAACCTTCAAAGCCTTCAAATATAAAGGCCCACAGTACCTGACAGAACTCCTGACACCCTATATTCCATCCTGTTCACTTCGGTCAGACAGCCAATCCTTCCTGTCCGTGCCAAGAATAAAGACAGACTCAGGTTCCAAAGCATTCAGCCACACTGCCCCTACCTTCTGGAACTCTTTACCGTGAGCAATCAGAGAGGCACCGTCCTTACAGACTTTTAAAGAAAAGCTAAAGACCCACCTCTTCTATCAGGCATTCAGTCTGCTCATCTGACCTTCAGAAACTCCTAACTTTTATGTCTTTATGTTTTTTATTTTTTTAAAGTACTTTGAGGCTCACCGTGAGAAAAGCGCTATAAAAATCGCAGATTATTATTATTACTATTATTATTATATTATTATTATTATATTGTGATCACTATTGCCCAAATGCTCCCCTACTTGAATGTTTGGCAAAAGATCAACATTGTTTGTTATAACCAGATGAAGACAAGCGTCCTTTCTAGCTGGTGCTTGTACCAGTTGTGACATGAAGGTGTAATTTAACAGGTTCAAAAAACGGATTCCTCTATCTATGCCAGTGTATGTACGGGTAACTAAAATCTCCAATAATTAATGTGTTCCCAGATGTACAGCTTTCCAAATTGCTCTATTAGCTCTTCTTCCTCATCCATATCCGTGTTAGTTGGTTTATAACATATCCCAACCAATAATTGATTTGCTTTGTTTATCTACCCATAATGCTTCCATATTTTCCTCATCACATTCCACTTGTTCATGGTTGACATACAAACATAGCCCACCATCTTTCCTGTTTTTTCTATCTTTCCTAAACAATGCGTAACCATTTAAGTTAACTGCCCAGTCGTGTCTCATCTCGATATGTTTCCATTATTTCCTATTATGTCATGTTGCTTAGTGTATGCTATTGCCTCTAATTTCCCCATTTTGCTATTTAGACTCTCTGCATTAGTAATCACAGGTTACATATTAGCATGAGACACTTGTATTTATTTGAATTTTTATTACTATAAAATACCTCCTCTGTTTTGATCTTGCCCCTACCTCCCATCTCTATCCCTTAGTGCTGAGCTAAAACCCATTTCCTTTCTGTCCTATCTCTGTGTCCATCCCCTTCACCACTAATTTAAAATCTCCTCCAACCTTCTAACCATCATAGACAGCTGGGTCATCCCCAGCCCCTCCCTCTGCGGTTGAAGGAGCAGATTCCTCCAGTGCAGCAACTCCTGAGATAATGCTCCCAACATCTTCACTCAAACAGGCAAATTTCATCTCCACCTCCCCCCCACCCCCACCCGCTACCAGGTGAAACTGTTCCCCAACTACACAACTGCTTCCCAGCTGCCTTATCTCCTCCCACTCCACTAGAGGCCCCCACTAAGCTCTGCTCATTGAGCTGCCAACCACTTTCAAGATGGTCAATCTGTCTCAATGTTGCAATTTGCTTCTACAGATTTCCAATATGAGCTTCACACCTGCCACAGACAGGGCCGTCTTTAGCGCGGGGCAAACGGGGCAGCTGCCCCGGGCCAGTTGCTCCTGGGGGGCCCCAGAGCAGCTGCCCCGTGGGCCCCGCGATATCAGCAGCCCCCATGTACCAGGCGGCCGGCGGTGCAGCCGCACCGGCCCGCCAACTAAGGAGGCCCCCGGGTGGCCCATGCACTAAGGGCCACCCTGTGGGCATGTGGCAGAAGGGGCCCGGTCGGGCGCTGTGACGCTTAAACAGCACGACCGGGCCCCTTCCTGTACCGGCTGGGAGGAAGTGAGTACCGCGTGTCACTTCCTCCCACCGAAGATAGCCGCGTGGGAGGAGGAAGGCAGGGAGGAGGGGAGTTCCAGAGAAGAACTCCCATCTGCCTCAGCCTGCCACTGGACCCCAGGGAAACCACCCTCCATAAAAAGGTAAGAACCTGGAGGGTGGCTAAATGTATGTCTGTATGTGTGTGTGTTAGTATGTGTGTGTGTGTGTGTTAGTATGTGTGTGTGTGTGTTAGTATGTCTGTGTTTGTGTGTTAGTATGTCTGTGTGTGTTAGTATGTCTGTGTTTGTGTGTTAGTATGTATGTGTGTGTGTGTGTGTGTTAGTATGTCTGTGTCTGTGTGTGTTAGTATGTCTGTGTTTGTGTGTTAGTATGTCTGTGTGGGTGTGTTAGTATGTCTGTGTGTTTGTGTTAGTATGCCTGTGTGTGCTAGTATGCCTGTGTGTGTTAGTATGTCTGTGTGTGTGTGTGTGTTAGTATGTCTGTATGTGTGTGTGAGTATGTCTGTGTGTGTGTGTTAGTATGTCTGTATGTGTGTGTGTTAGTATGTCTGTGTGTGTGTGTTAGTATGTGTGTGTGTGTGTTAGTATGTCTGTGTGTGGGTTTTAGTATGTGTGTGTGTTAGTATGTCTGTGTGTGTGTGTTAGTGTGTTAATATGTGTTTGTGTGTTAGTATGTGTGTGTGTTAGTATGTCTGTGTCAGTATGTCTGTGTGTGTCTATGACAGACATACTGACATACACACACACACAGACATACTGACACATACACACACAGACATACACACACACTGACATACACACACACACACACACATATACACACACAAACATACTGACATACACACACAGACATACTAACACACACAGACATACTGACATACACACACAGACATGCTGACACACACAGACATACTAACACACCACACAGACATACTAACACACACAGACATACTGTGTGTATGTCTGTGTGTTTGTATGTCAGTATGTCTGTGTGTGTATGTCAGTATGTCTCACTGTATTCCAGTGTGTGTGTGTGTGTATGTCAGTATGTCTGTGTATGTCAATACGCCTGTCAGTGTATGTGTCTGCGTGTGTCTGTGTCAGTATATCTGTCAGTGTATGTGTCTGTGAGTATGTATGTGTCTGTGTGTGTATCAGTATGTCTGAATGTGTGTCAATGTTTGCCAGTATATATTTTTGTGTCAGTGTATGTGTGTGTCAGTATGTATCTGCAAATCGTGTCTGTCTGTGTGTGTGTCTAGTATACATGCTGTCCAGTCAATGATTCTTGGTTTGGTAATGGGAGGTTAGAGTGGGCAAGGACTGGGGGGCCCAAGAAAAGGCTTTGCCCGGGGTCCTATTCATATTATAGACGGCCCTGGCCACAGAGGTATGGATCCTGGACGGATACATCTAAGCATGCATACATGTAGCAAGATGGGCACTTTCATCTAACACTCATTGCCACAGTTACCAAAAACAAGTACAGGACTCTAAAACAATATTAACCTTGGTTTAAACTCCTGTTTTGAACTCCTACTTAAACAAAATTACATTTAAGCAACTCCCAGTGCTTACATGTAAAACCATTACCACTGCCAATCATAATAAAGTATAAGAACTACAGATGGTAATACTGTCCAGGGCCAGATTAAGAGCCCAGTGGGCCTGGTGCTGACAATTAGGATGGGCCTAATTACAGAATCATATCAACCAAAAACAGTAAAACACTCCCAAGCGTCATGTATCTGATGGAGATGGTGCTGGAGAGAAAGAAAACAGCAGCTATAAGAAAACACATACCCTAAGCTAATCTCTCTCTAATTTATGTTTTCATCTTTCAAGTAAATCCATAACCCCCAACAGCAGTGTCCAGTCAAGCAGGAAGTCAATGGGCATGGTAAAAGGGTGTGCCACTGACACAAATTACGTAACCTGCCAAAAGGGGCAAACATGCCCAAAAAGAGGACATGTCTGCCCAAAGAATTAGAAGGCCAGCTGCCTGCCAATCATGCAGCTGGCCAACTAAGGGCATACTATGCAGACAGCACCCTGAGCTTGGCATAAATGCATCTAATGATGCGCTCACTCAACGCTTTCTAAGGACTGTCCCCTAGCACTCGCTGGTCCACTTGTCTTCTTACCTTCTTACTAGCAGGCAGAAGCTCCTGGTATATAGTCTGGGACAGAGAAAAGCTGTATGTAGTGAGTGTAGAAGAAAGGGAACATGCCACAGTGTTAGAGAGACCAAAGTCAGCATTACCTTAAAGGATCAGGAACACAAACATAAATTCATGACCCTATAGTGTTAACACCACCATCTAGCCCCCCTGGGCCCCTCATGCCTCCATAAATATAGCAAAATCTTACTATATTCAAGCCTGAAGCTGTAACTCTGCATGCTGTTAGACTCATAAAAACAAGCAGTCTACTGACATCATTAGAAGTGGTGGCCTGATCCAATCACAGTGCTTCCCCATAGGATTGGCTGACACTGACAAAGAGGCAGATCAGGGTCAGAGCCAGCATGATTCAAACACAGCCCTGGCCAATCAACATCTCCTTATAGAGATGAATTGAATTAATGAATCTCTATGAGGAAAGTTCAGTGTCTGCATGCAGAGGGAGGAGACACTGAATGTTTGGATGCATTTTAGGCAGCCATGACCCAGGAAGGATCTCTAACAGCCATCTAAGGAGTGGCCAGTGAAGTTATTACTAGGCTGTAATGTAAAGACTGCATTTTCTCTGAAAAGACAGTGTTTATAGCAAAAAGCCTGACAGAAATGATTCTACTCACCAGAACAAATTCAATAAGCTGTAGTTGTTCTGGTGACTAAAGTGTCCCTTTAACTATATTCATTGTCAGCCAGTCCACACAAGTTTTGTTCCCATACTTCACTCTTAAGTTTCCATACTTAAGTAAGAGTATGTGAAAAGTAGTTAGGGTTGCCACCTTTCTTGGAAAAACATACCGACCTTACTAATTTGCATAATTAAATATGTGTGGGTGACATCACATGATGTAAATCACAAGGAGTGACATAAGAGAAAATGCTGTAAAATCACCCCAAAACTACTTAGTTTGATTCTGCTGTATAGATGGATTCCTCCCAGTGCCCCCATGTCTCCCAGTGCCCTCATGACTCAGTGCCCCCAAGTGTCGATTACTCCAGGTCTCAGTGTTCCTATGTATCAGTGTCTCAGTGCCCCATGTCTCCCAGTGTCTCCTAGTGTCGTGTCCCCAGGTCTCCCATTGATCCTATGATCCTATGTATCACAGTGTCTCAATGCCCCATGTCTCCCTTTGTCCCTAGGAAGATGGGGAGACATGGGGAGACCTTGGGACACGGAGACACCAGTGACACTGGGAGACTAGGGGACTCTGGCTGGGACACATTGGGACAATGGGAAAATAGGGGACACTTGAAGACATGGGGACATAGGCACCAGGGACACAGACACTAGAGACACAGGCTGGGGGACATGGGGACATTGTGACACTTGAGGCACTGAGAGACATGGAGGCACTAGGAGACATAGGGACAGTGAGACACTGGCAGACTGGGGTCACTGGGAGACTAGGGGGCACTGGGAGGCTAGTGGGCACCGAGACACCAGGGACACTGGCTGGGAGACATGGGGACACTGTGTCCCCATGTGTCATAATGTCTCCCAATGTCCCTTAGTGTCTCAGTGTCCCCATGTCTCCTTGCAGCCTTTCCCCCCATCCATTACTTCCCTGAGCTGTAGGCTGTCTCTGCAGGGTGGGAGTTGCTGTCTGGACTCTCTGTAGCTGCTCCCCTGCAGATCAGTGAGTATAGATGGGCAGGGAGGGATATGCTGGAACTTCCTATCCCTGTCTGTCTCCACACACAGCCCTACTGGCCAGTGTTGGTATTGCATAGTAATAGTCAGTTTATACTGAGAAAAATACCAGCATTTGTATTGCCAGTATCACTGCAATATTGGCACCAGCCAGGCAGCCTCAAATACTGGCTGTGCCAATAAAATAAAAGCCAGGTGGAATCCCTAAGAGTAGTGTGTGGAGAAAAAAAAATGTAAAAAAAAAAAAAAATATGTAAAAAAAAATATTTTTTTTTTTAAAAATCAATGGGCCTATTCCATGGGCCTAGGCCTGGAGCTGCAGCTCCATCAGCCCCTATGTTAATCCGGCCCTGATACTGTCATGTCCATCAGAAATGCAAAATCTGTGTCACTGTAATAATTATTTATTGATTTGTAATAGTAGGATGGATGCAATTTAAAGTGGGTGAACATCATGTTTGTAAATGGTTTATTATTAGAAAGGAACATTGTAGAAATTAGGGGAAAAAATAAAATAGGGTAGTAATTGAACAACAGAATACTAAAAACATTGCAAGCACTCATCTACGTATTTTACAAAAATAGTTTATCTGCTCTTCATTCCGGTAAACCATATTAAAAGAACACTCTATTT